GTTGTAATATACTTTTTTCACATGGATTTGGCTTTGTATGGTTAGCACAAAGTGTAGGCAATAAAGTTGATTTTCTTAGATGTTTTAAAGATGTATTTGTAAATATGTTTTACCAATCTTGGCATTGTACTCTCGACAACAGTTCACGCTACAATTTGTATAGAGAATGTAAGTGTTTACTAGAACCGGAAAAATATTTAAGTGTTATACATGAAAACAAATATCGTAATATTCTTATAAAATTCCGAGCAGGCCTATTACGATTAAAAATAAATGAAGGAAGATGGTTAAATATTGATGTATATCTACGCACATGTCCTGTCTGTAAACTCGGCATAGAGGATGAATTCCATTTTCTTTTAGTATACAAATATTATTCTGAAGAAAGATTCTATTATTTTCCACATATTTACAACCGCATTCCAAATATATTTATATTCAAAAACCTGCTAACTTCTCCTTCAAATGAAGCTTTATTAAATCTATGCAAATTTATACTGCTTATAAAAAGAGACAGACTTTGTTAAACTCTTAATTGGTTTACATCATGTTTCCAATATATTTTGATTGTACATATGCTATATGTATATGGGCCGGTGGCCTTCATGCATAATACAGATCTTTGAAAGATCTTTGACTGTGTCATCCATCCAAGACATTCAGTGTAATATCCATTTGTATCATACTGAGCAAAGAACAGTTGAAAATGTATTGAAGTAATTAATTATTCATCCATTTCAAAATAAATGTACTTAATATTTGTGTGACTATCTGGACTAAGATTTGGCATTCCAATAAAGTTACCACTTGGTGACCCTTAAAATATATGTTCTTCCTTTCATGAACAGCCACATGATTGTCCCAATTGCAAACAATAAACACATACAACATCATTGTATTCCCAGAACACACAATGAAACATGGAGCAAAGTAATAAATAGTGTGACCTTGTCAGAAACACACTGTAGTTCCTGGCTCAACAGTCCCTGATGACAGTACTGGCTGAAACACCAGTCATGGGGGTGGATTTCGGGGGTGGGGAGAGAGAGGAGTTGGCGGGGTCAGACTTGTATGTTCTGAAGCACTGAAACAATAATATATTTGCTGAACATCAAATTGTTGGTCCCTAAGGATACAAGGGCCCAGGGTTATTATGCAAAGGGCGAAGGCATTCTATGGACAAAAGTAAGCAGGGTAGAAGCTAAGGCATTATATGGACCAAAGTAGCTATAGAAGCAAAGGCATTATATGGACCAAAGTAGCTATATAAGCAAAGGCATTATATGGACCAAAGTAGCTATAGAAGCAAAGGCATAATGTGGAATGTATGACTCTGGGGTAAAGGCATTACTGGTGCTGTGTGGACTGGTATCAGCTCAGGGTGACCATGTGACAAGGCATCATGGACCAGGGTGAGGACACATCAATAGGTGAGATAAGGTCACAGTACAATAGGCAAACTGAACACATGGTGTTATGTCAGAAAAACACCACTCGGGCATGTTGTGTGATGTGGAGTGTGGAGGAACACTAGGCTGGTCGAGTATAGTAATCATCAATAGTCAAACTGCAAATGCTTTGTGCAAAAACAGAATTTCAGTCACAGCATTGTCCCGATTTAGACTCCCAGTATTGGGTTCACAATCAGTTTTCTTCCTCAGAATGTCCTTGAGAAGCACACCTATGACCTTACAACGCAAGACTGGAACAAAGTAAATGTGACAACAGACAAATAGTGATACAATGTGTTGTACAGAGATCTTGAAGAAAACAGGAAAATGGAAACTAGACAAATAGTGATATGTGTTTTACAGAGATCTTGAAGAAAACAGGAGAATGGAAACTAGACAAATAGTGATACAATGTGTTTTACAGAGATCTTGAAGAAAACACAGGAAAATTGAAACAATAGAAAATTCCTTTGTAAAATGATACAACTTACATTGACCCCTTCCAGCCCAGTTTAAGGGGGATGAGAACAATAAAAGATGATGATGTACATAATGCTTCTCATCCACTGAACTAGGGGTGTTAACAAGGCATCACTGAGGAACATGGAATAATTGTCGTGTGACCTTTTAAGTATACAAGATTCATGTGATAAAAAGATCAAAACAATTCATAAAAACCAAACACAACAGTGAAAAAATACGTAACACCCAGTACGTACAACTGGGAGTGAGAGAGATTCACAGCTGGGGGATCCTTGAACACAAACATCTAGTCACACCTGAGAATTGTGTGCAGGCAAATTACACAAGTAGTGACAGGTGAGAGTCTGTAATATCATGAACTAGTATCTAGTATTAACGTTATACAGTACTTTACAGGTATCTATTTAAGCAGTCTAAGTAAACTTAGGTTCAGTATTATTCATTACACTGCTTATACTGAGTCTAACAAACCCTAGTAGAAGGTCGCGTCAGCTAACCTTTCCAATTGACCAATCAGAACACAGCTTACCAAATTGTGAAAGTTGACATTCGCACATACCTTTTGAACTATCACTTCGAAAAAAGTTCATACCCGAACAATTCCGAATGCTGTTTTCCTTACAATTGCTTCCGAGTGATGCACATGGAGCACGCCACAACAGTGAGTAAACAGTTGCTGAAAATAGCGTTTTTGTCAATATTCAAGGATGTTAGCTTGCGGAAATATTAGCTAATGGTAACCATGTCATCAGAAAGCCCTAAGCATATATACTGCAGGTCAAATAGCTGTGTTTTATGCGGATTTTCGTTTGTTGAGAGATCAGTGTCAGTGACTGGGGAATTTTGTAAGTCCGCCAAACCCTAAACAGTAGCTGCTGTCTGATTGGTTAAATCCGTTCTGCCGTCTCGCATTTGATTGGAAGGTAATAGGTTGCTCAAAGGTTAGCTGACGCGACCTTCTACTAGGTTTTATTAGACTCAGTATAGCAGTGTAACGAATAATACTTAGCCTAAGTTTACTTAGACTGCTATTTAAGAGGAAGGAGAGGGCCATAATTCAATTTATTTGTACAAACAAGTGAATCAAATATCTTACATTACATTGTCACCAAAACAGTCATATAGCCAATAATAAAAAGATGTAACTGTTGTTAATGCCCTTGTGGTATAAGGAACCAAAATAATAGATGCCAGGCTTCATGTGACCTCACAGTATGCACTCAAATTGACCTTAGGTTAAGGCCTTAAAGTGACCTCAGATAATGGCCTTAAATGACAACAAATGATGGCCTCAAAGTCACCTCAGATTTCAGATCATGGCCTCAAACTGACTTTAGATTAAGGCATAAAGAGACCTCAACATATGGCCTTGAAGAGTATGGTCTTAAAGTGACCTCAGAGTATGTTCTTAAAGTGAGCTCAAAATATGGTCTGAAAGTGACTTCTGTGTGGCTTTAAAATGACCTCAGAGCGTGGCCTAAAGTTACCTCAGTGACCAACTAAACATAAAGGATCTTCATGATAAAACATCGACTGAAGCAAATGCTTCAGTTCTTAATAAACATATCATTCAATATATTTGTTGATATCATATCTATATATATACTCAGCAGCAAACAAAAACGTCAGTACAAATTCAAAATTAGGTAGGCACTGTAATCAAATCATTACAGAAATGGACATAATAAGCGGATCAAACACATCTTTTGTGTACAATATCTTGACACATCAATGAACAACTCAGCACAATTCAAGACATTATGTTAACGTCTGCAGTCTATTCAGATACTTGACTTCAGTATCTAGTGTGACCACCACGAGCGGCAATAACTGCAGCACAGCGTCTATGCATGGAGTGCACCAATCGATTGATGAAGGCCATCGGCATCTGGAACCACACTCTGAGTAAGGCCTGGCGCAATAAATCGGCTGTGTTCAGCCTTGGTATGACATTATTCAGTCTCCTCTGAATTTCATCCAAAAGATGTTCAATTGAGTTTAAATCAGGACTAAGGGCTGGCCACTGCATAATGTTGACACCGTTCTGCTGTAGGAAGTCCCGTGTAGCTCTAGCAGTATGGGCCCAGGCGTTATCATGTTGGAAATGTTGTTCCGGTGACGTGCGAGATGTGGTATGACGTGGCGTCTGAGAGCTTGGTCGATGTAGCGCACCGCTGTGATGCCGCCTCCTCCCTGGACCAAGGTTCTGGAACACCACATGACCCACTCTCTGGTTCAGGCCTATTCCACCCCATACCATGATGCTTGCACCTCCCCATGAGTCTTTTTCCATAACACATTGGTCTGAGTAACGCTGGCCACGTCGTCGCCATATTCTTGTTCTGCCATCTGCAGTTGATACGCAGTACCGACTCTCATCTGTGAACAGAACAGTTCTCCATTGCCTGTATCGCCAGTTTTGGTGTTGTAGGGCAAACTGTAGACGTTCACGCAGATGATGAGGACTGAGGATAGGTCCATGGTAAAGTCTACGGCAATGGAGGTTCCCGCTGTTAAGACGTTGGCGTACTGTATCATTACTGATTGGTCTTCCGTGTGTTCCCCACTGTCTGGCGTGCTGTTTCGGATGCCTGCATGAAGGGATTCTGTACATGCTGTCGCACAACATGGCGGTCTTGTCGTCTTGTGGTCACCCTTGGTCTGCAAGTACAGGGGCGATCATTTGTGGTGTTGGTGGCCGGAAACGTTGCTGCAACCTGTAGATGGTCTGAATGTTGACCTGAAAGTGATTGGCAACAGATTGTGCAGTGTGGCTAACTTCAAGTCTCCCTAGCGCCTGGTTCCTCTGAGCTGTCATGAGTCGCGGCATCCTGCTGACGTTGTAATGTGAATGTTTCAACCGGGTTTGGGGGTGCATTTTGTAGGGCTGGTCCTTGTGAACAGCATGTGCAGCATGAGTTGCATGAAAAAAATGGAGAACACCGTACCATCTCCGAGATCAGGTTGCGTTTTTGATACCATTTCCTGGGTTCAATTCTGAGTTTGGGAAAGAATGCCTTTGCTCAGGTAAAGTTGGAGATGTTGTCAAACATATACAATCAAAACCTAAAATGAGTTTACAGTTATCCGTTTCTGCGAAGGAAAATTCCAACTGACGTTTCTTTTGCTGCTTAGTATATTACATAATTGTAGTAATCTGAGTTGGTTGGACAGTTGGCTTCTGATGACTGATTTATACATATTTGCTACAAAACTACTCTGTAAAAATATGCTGCATTAATACTGTCACCAATCTGCGCTTCCTTGAGACCATATCCTCTCTTCTAACACACTATCTATCCATCTTGGACTTGCAGCTCCACCTACAAACATTATGGTTGGCTTATACTTGGACTAAAAAAAATACAAAAATATTTCGATGTTATCAAAATGTATTCCCCATTTCATGGAACTGAACACAGTTCCTAATGTAAATATCACTCTTCAACATAGCTTCTAAAAACATTATACTCACTGGGATGTGCTTTCTCACAACATGCATTTCATCCAAATACCTGCTCTCCAACATGTTCTCCATTCTTTCTTCCTACTTGGCAAAGTGAAGTTTTCATGTATTACTTAGTATTTCATATCATATCAGCTTCAAGTCCAGCATTTCTCTTACTACTTAAAATACAATCCTTTATATTCATGATTAATTCATTATTGTCAAATTCAAGTTTATGGTAAGGCATTTATTTTTTAAAATTATTATATAACAAATAGATGTATTATTTCAGTCCAACTGATGTCTACGTTCAACACAAACCTGTGTTAATGTTGTCATGTCAGTATTACATCTACCTCAAGTTCATTCTCCTAACACCCTAACTGAAATACTGTCGCCTTAAAACCACTCACTAACTCAATTATATCATGATTCATTGCCCTATTTCTTGTATGGCAAGTTAAGTCTCACCATGACATGTTTCTAGCTTACGCTCGACATTATCCTATAAGTATATGTTAATGTAAAGGAGATTACCAATAAAATTTCATTACTAGAAATACTGTAACATGACTCTCAAACACCATACGGACCCTTGGACTAGACAGACTGACACTAGCCATACAGGGCATAGAACACGAAGTACGCAGCATTCACGTCAAGCCTGTTGGTGCGGGACAGAGTCAGCATGTTGTCATCTAGCTTCACATCCACGGACTCAATGAAGTTCTTGGCAGTGTCGGTGGCCAGAGTGGATGCTTCTTCCTGTGCAAGACGTAGTGTCAGGATATCCTTATCTTGCAGCTTCTGAAGCTGAAATAGATCCAGGTTCAGGGTTATTCCACCATATTGTGAGTGAGTGATTAAGTATGGTTTTACGCCACTTTTAGCAATATTCCAGCAATATCATGGCAGGGGACACCAGAAATGGGCTTCACACATTGTACCATGTGGGGAATTGAACCCGGGACTTCAGCGTGACAAACGAACGCTTTAGTTACTGGGCTACCCCACCTCCCCCAACTATATTGTGACATACATGTGTGATTGTCTGGTGGAATTTGTTAACATTCACCAAGCTTCAGGTAGCTCTTTGGGATAACCAAAGACACAGGTTTACTTACAATGCTGAGAAGGCTTTGTGCTGTCTCTTCATCATCCACACAGCGGGCTACAGCATCTAGTTCATCATCGTCAAACTCATCCAGCAAAGTGACCAGAAGCTGACATGCTTCAAATATGTCAGTGGTGGCTCGGGGGTACTCAACGTTGCCTTCCTGACAACCGATGAGGATAATAGTGACACGACTGATATTTCCAGGGTAAATACAATTGAATTATCAACCAGTCTTTTCCAAATCTAATATTAGTGGCGTAAGTGATGAGAAAGTTTAGTATTGATTCATCACTCAGATATATCACAATACACCGATTAAAGACACAATCGATATTTCTGTATGTATGTAAAAAAATTCCAGACCTGAAATTAATTAACTTAATATGAATGAGGCAGATCAATTAAATATATACATACTTCTTACTGTCCATCTGAATCATGATAATATCAACAAATATACATGCTTCTGTGGCAGACTGTTATAGGTTTTATATCAATTTTCAAATATCTGTATCCATAATGTATCAACATTTGAAATGAATCACTACATCAATATCCCGATGTATCAGGACATTCCTACCTAATACTGTAAATTTGGAAATAAATGTGAATGTTAGCCCCTAACCAAAGGTGTGATATGGATCCCCTCCAGCCCCAGCGGTATCTGTAGTTATCCACTGGCTGCTGTGATGTATTTAATCCTTATCTTTATCTCACTTTACATTAAACCAATGAACAACAAATAGCACCGATTATTAGCAGATAATATCATAATAGAGTACTTATGCTGAGAACCATTTTACACTATGATTCAACATTCACCGTCTGATATGTGGAGAAGAAGTCAACAAACTTAACGTCAGAGTGAGTAAGTCAGTGAGTATGGTTTACACCACTTTTAGCAATATTCCAGCAACATCAAGACAGGGGACACCAGAAATGGTCTTCACACATTGTACCCATGTGGGAATCAAACCCGGGCCTTTGGAGTGACAAGCAAACACTTTAACCACTAGGCTACCCCACCACCCCACTTAATGTCAGAAAACAAGACAGTGGCTATAGATCTCGGTATAAGTGTGATGGATGCTATCTGTGCCTGCATGGTCATGTCGGACTAGGTTGCAGAACAAGGAAACTGTTGCGAGGAGGAGGCGTCTGTCTTCACCTACTGGTGTAGTCAGTGACGCCTAGTTGTCACGAGTGAGTAGAACTCTTGACCACAGCAACTCACTCACCTGTTGTCCATTATGACAATTCCAGTGTTTGAAGGAGGTGGTGAAATGGGGTTAAATGTTGTACTTGAGAATATTTCACTCATATGACGATGTGCATGGGTGTGTATGTGTGGCTGCTTGTGCCCAGACTTTTGCTGGTTTTATATCATGCTGCAGTTAAGCATGAATACTCCACTGAGACATATTATACTGACTCCGAGCCGAACCGTCCTTGTTGTACCGCACAATGCCTAGCGCCAGGCAGGGACCAACAAGTACCATATTTCTAGTCTTTTGGTATGACATGGCCGGGGATCAAACCCTGCGACCTTCCGCTCTAACCACGGAGGCGGTCTGTTTGAAGGACATATTGTTACAGAGATATATGTATAACACAGGATGGGATTGTTGCTTGTTTTATATTTCATTTTGTATTTCAGTTTTCAATAGTGGCCATCATTTCAGAAACATATTTGTGAAGTTCAATTAATGCCAGCAAAGACCACTCGCAATTTTCACATTAAATATACACTCAGTTTCAAGATTCACAGTTTATTACCTAAAATGACTCAAGAGAAAAGACAGGCTCATATACTGATTCATCATTACATTTGAAATATTGATTCTGTTCAGAAATACAGACAACGTGCATGACACAATTTAACCTGTTGAGAAAAGTCTCATGTTCCTGCTTTGCGAGAGTAAAACTCACCTTTATTTGGAAGCCAGCAATTGTGAGGAACTGTTGGATATCATCATTAGAGGTCCCAATCTTCTTCTGTAAGTGCTCCAGGTTGGTTGTTTTCTCAATTTTGGTGTCAATGAACACCTCAGCTTCCTGCAGCTGTAAACAGATGCAACAGGTCCAAACCTTCAAACTTACTACCTGAACACACATAACTTAAAACAGATGCCACACAAACAAAATCGCCATCTTGACACACGTCTGTAAACAGATCTACACACAACATGGCCACCTTGACACACGTCTGTAAACAGATATACACACAACATGGCCACCTTGACACACGTATGTAAACAGATACACACACAACATGGCCACCTTGACACACATCTGTAAACAGATCTACACATAACATGGCCACCTTGACACACGTCTGTAAACAGATACACACACAACATGGCCACCTTGACACACGTCTGTAAATAGATACACAAGGCCACCTTGACACACGTATGTAAACAGATACACACACAACATGGCCACCTTGACACACGTCTGTAAACAGATACACACACAACATGGCCACCTTGACACACGTCTGTAAACTGTAAATGGATTGACACACAAATAGATACACAAGGCCACCTTGACACACGTCTGTAAACAGATCAACACATAACATGGCCACCTTGACACACGTCTGTAAACAGATACACACACAACATGGCCACCTTGACACACGTCTGTAAACAGATCAACACACAACATGGCCACCTTGACACACGTCTGTAAACAGATCAACACCACCTTGACAACATCAACACATAACATGGCAACCTTGACACACGTCTGTAAACAGATCAACACACAACATGGCCAGTTTGACGCACATTTGTAAACAGATCCACACATAACATGGCCACCTTGACACATGTTTGTAAACAGATCTACACACAACATGGCCACCTTGACACATGTCTGTAAACAGATCCACACACAACATGGCCACCTTGACACATGTTTGTAAACAGATCCACACATAACATGGCTACCTCGACACGTCTGTAAACAGATCCACACACAGCATGGCCACCTTGACACACGTCTGTAAACAGATCCACACATAACATGGCTACCTCGACACACATCTGTAAACAGATCCATACACACATGGCCAAACTGACAGTTGTCTGTAAACAGATCCACAGACATAATATTTATAACCTGGACACAGAGGATTGTAAGTGAGAGTGAGACAGGTTCTGACCAGGTCAGAGAGGGGCTGCACAGTCTGTGGAAGCTCCATAATTCCCCTCAGGCTGCTCCGGACCTGCTCCCGCTGACCCGCAGACAATTCTAGCAGGCTGCGGAAAATATCACCTGGGTTATCTGAAACACATCACAATCTATGGTGTTCACTCAGGTTACCTGAAACACATCAGAACCCACTATATACATAAGTGTTCATCTAGCCAAGGACATAACCCAGCCTTCAAAGCTGTTGAATAGACAACATACTCTAACAGGTAAATAAGTACCCAATCAGTTTGTAGTATTTCAGATAAATCATGGAAATCTTAAATCCACATTCATTGTCTTTCAAATATATCCACACAGAATCTTGTCACACAATTGTATTAAGAAATATTTAATAAAATTAAATATGATTGATTTTCTTCAACACTTATTCAACAGTTGTTTATGTATTTTTAGACAGACAATATTTTTACTTGGGCTGACAGACAAGGAAAAGATCATGTTTATACCACTCCATTCATAGGAGGAAAACAAATTCTGTGCAGTTCCTTGTTGCAGAGGCTCAATAGGAACAACTGGTGTGTCAGATAGGAATGTGTCACCCTCCAGAAATACTTCCTTGACATGTTTACCTGAACAATCCACTCATCTGAATATTCACCTGGACACATAATTCACCTGTAGACTCACCTGAACAGTCCATACGTTTTAGACTCACCTGAACAGTCCATCCATCTTAGACTCACCTGAATGGTCCACCCACCTACTCTAACCTGACCTGAACGGTCCACCACCCTAGACTCACCTGAACGGTCCACCCACCCTAGACTCACCTGAACGGTCCATCCATCTTAGACTCACCTGAACGGTCCACCCACCCTAGACTCACCTGAACGGTCCATCCATCTTAGACTCACCTGAACGGTCCACCCACCCTAGACTCACCTGAACGGTCCACCCACCCTAGACTCACCTGAACGGTCCATCCATCTTAGACTCACCTGAAAGGTCCATCCATCTTAGACTCACCTGAACGGTCCATCCATCTTAGACTCACCTGAACGGTCCACCCACCCTAGACTCACCTGAATGGTCCACCCACCCTAGACTCACCTGAACGGTCCATCCATCTTAGACTCACCTGAAAGGTCCATCCATCTTAGACTCACCTGAATGGTCCACCCACCTACTCTAACCTGAACAATCCGACCACCCTAGACTCACCTGAACGGTCCACCCACCCTAGACTCAACTGAACGATCCATCCATCTTAGACGCACCTGAACAGTCCACCCATCCTACACTCACCTGAACAGTCCACCCATCCTAGACTCACCCGAATGATCTATCCAGTTTAGATTCACCAGACCATTCTCTCCATCTCAGACTCACATCACCTGCACACAGCTTCAACCTACCTGAACACTCAACAGCGCTGAAGGACTCAGCCAGTGCATCAACTGTGTCAAGGTTGGCGAGGCTGGTGGTAATGAATCCCCCCTTGGTGTCCGGATCAACCTGCACCTGGAAGCTCCCATCCTTGGTGCTGACCAGCAGCTCGTACACCCGGTATGCCACTGGTGTCCCGGACGGAACCTTCATCGTCTTCGACTTCTTCTCATTCACTTCTTCACTTGCAGTGACAGCCGTGCTGCTTAAGCACTATTGTAAAGCAGGTAGATGACATTGTTAGGAAGCAGAGTGTTACACTGTGTAGGGGTGGACAAGACATATCTCATGGGCATATTACTGATTGTTACATTATCTCATGGGCATATTACTGATTGTTACATTATAAGTTGTTCACTGGTCTTGAGGGGGACATAGGCTGATGTACCCTCGATGTTTGTTTATGTTCCCTGAGCCCAAAACCCGAAACGACATTTATGTGTGAGGCAAGATAAAAGGTGATGACATAATGTCTCTTTTGTGACATGCAATTGGGGTGATGTGGTACAGGGTGATGGTGTATTTATTACATGCATGATGATGGGGTCACCAGGTGATGTCAAGTGGTGATTGGTTTTATTGGGTGATGGTGTATTTGTTACATAAACTACCACAGTGAGCCTCAGGATCACATAAACTATGACAGTGACCCTTGGGATCACATAAACTACCACAGTGACCCTTGGGATCACATAAGGTATACCTACAGAAAAGCTGCTTCCAGCTTTGCCTGTTTCATCGAAGTTGACTTGACTTGAGAGGCTGGCATCGCTCACTAGCTTGATCACTCCTGTCACCACACACAGTGTCTTCTCATTTACAAGCGGCTTCACCAGCTGGTGGTTCAGATTGATTCTCCTGGAGAAAGTGGAAAGTTCTCGGTTAATCTTGTTTCAGATCACTGATCATACAGGGATTATATACACACGTTCAGGGGCCAACACTGAAGTGGAATACATTACCTCTAGGAGAGGTTACACAACAATTACTGTTTCAAGGTCATAAAGGAAAAATTCTACAAAGTAACACAAAGTGTTCAAGATCAGATTATGTATGTATGCTATGCTCAAGAACAGATTATGTATGTAAACCATGCTGAAGACAGATTATGAAAATTCACTGATGTGAAGCTGTATTATTGTTTCTTGGATCATTCCACTCTATTTTTACAAAGGTATTACAAAGGTAGTTGTTGGTGCAGTCAACCATACCATATGTTGTTTTAACCCGTATGGCTAGTGGGACATATGACTAATGGGAGGACACCACGTTAGCAGCAAGTGTTATTAATATTTCCAACATCGGAATGACATATTTCCCAAGTTTATGTAATGATAATAAATTTTATTGTTTTCACTGACAACAGGGCCAATAACAGTAAGAGCACTGAACCCAATCTCATAATAGTTTTAATACCATGTTACATAGCTCTCAGTTAAGAAAACAATAGCTTAAATATAACAATCACAAATGTGAAAGAAATAACAATTCTTCCCCAAACTGCATGCCAGGGGTATATACTTTTGAATCCTTGATACATCCCTGTAATAATGGATTGGCTGATTGATACAGATGTTCCTCAGTGATATTCTTCAGTTTTCGTGAAATCCAATGCAAAATCAGAATTGATTATCTCATGTGTATCGTTGCAGTAGGAAGCAATCTCTGGGGATTCCCAGTCAGAGAATGTCACAGTTTCCTGTGCTTGTTGTATAGACGACAAAGTATGTCCGGTCCTGACAAAATTATCTACAGGCTGTTACGAGCATATGTAAGCAACACTCACTCACCATAGGTGTGTGCTCCCCTGTTGTTACTAATCGGTCTCCATGCAATAACCTATGCTGGTCATTAGTGGTGATTAATGAATTGGGTAGTCAGCCCCAGCGATTTGGGACCCGTGAAGATCTGGGCTAGAATTGGTCTTCAGTAACCCATTGTAAGAGGCGACTAAACGGGATCGGGTGGTCAGACTTGCTTACTTGTGTGAGTGTGCTGTGCACAGTTCATCACCTGTTTTCACAAGAGTTTCAATGGTCATTTAATAAACTTTCAGAACAAAGGGGATTGGGGTGGGGGGTGGGGGGTTGTGCGCACCCCTGCACCCCACCTCCCTCTGGATCCGCCTATGTCATTCAGGTCAGGACAGGTATTAACACTGAATCATTAAATGAATCAATTACCTTGAATTTATTTCATCCAAGAATGGCTGTAGTTCGACTTCATCCTTCTGCAGATCACCCAGTGGACTTTGAACAATCACAGACCTCGCTCCATCCAGGTCGATGTCAACCAGTTCTTTGGAAAGTTCAACCCCGAACTTTCCTTTCAAAGACAGATTTGTACTTCGATTAAAGCCCTTACAAAATATCTTCTCGTCAATTTTGACGACTGGCTGTTTAGTTGGGTCCTCTAGAATATCAGTAAGTTTGAACTCAGTGGTATAACACTTGTGCTTTGTCCAAAACAGCAAATGACGGCGGGTTTCTTTCAGCACAATACTCAATGGATAAATATTGTCAGACGAGTCTAAGTTTGGGACTGGCAGTAAGGTGTCCTTCCCGAGCGACCTCACCACTTGGTGAACTGTTGAAGAAAACATTTTCTCTTGTAAGATGTCAAACCCAGCTCACCATTCAACCTGCGTCTAGCTCAGATTGTTGTGGAAACGATGTCAGAAGGAAGTTATTTATGGACGAGAGTTAGCTCCCTTTGGAGCATTACCTCATCTAGCCTTGCACTGTGTCTCCTTTTTTATATCGGCATGCACGACCGACGTAAAATAGGGAACAGGGTTGATCTCTCTACGGTAGCTTAGATCTATAGTAGGATTTTTATAATGCAATAGTTGATAGAGTGTGGTGTGTTTGTCTGTTACGCAGTCGCGTTTCTGTCTTGCTCTAACACAACCACGGCGTAGAGCTGTTTCCGTTAGGCGTGACATGATCTGCTCACAGGCCCTCGTGTCTTTGCGAAGATTAAAGATTTAAAAACTTATTTTTTTTAGATGACCCCCGACTCGAAATGCTACGCAGTACAATACATTATATGTCGTACATTATATGTATTGTACTGTGAAGCATTTCCAGTCGGGGGTCATCTCAAATGTTTAATTTTATTTTTACATCCTTAATCCAGGCAGAGACACGAGGGCCTGTGGATCTACATGCATGATTGTCAGTCCGAATCTATCTCCGTACTTGTCAAGTTATAATAAGTTTAGTCGTCATGGTGCGAGCCTACCATAGCTGCACCCCGTCGACAATGGGAAAATCGTATACATGTAAATTTTATGAAATGGGTGTCGTGTTCTTAGCTTCTATACACAGTGTACAATATCTACTTTGAGAGGCATGTTAGAAGTTGTATAGGTGAAGGAAAACCAAGTTCTATGGATAGTCAACTTCTTTATTGCAACGAGTGCGACGTTTCGGTGTACATACTAACACCGTTATCAAGCACGTGATACAAAGAGTTGTAACATGGAGAATATATATACAATTGACAAGGTTGATGTACATTGGATTGCTAATGAGTGATTTGAGTAGGTTGATGGACAGAGTGATAGTGGTTAAAACAATATGCAGAATACTCACTATGCAGCTATGTATATATTCTCCATGTTACAAATCCCCACATGGGTACAATGAGTGAAGCCCATTTCTGGTGTCCCCCGCCGTGATATTGCTGCAATATTGCTAAAAGCGGCGTAAAACTAAACTCACTCACTCACTGATCCCCAATGTCCAGTGTATGTCAGTGTATATCACCGCAGAATAGATCCAGTACCCCGGGTTTATAATACCCCCCGGTTATATTTCAGACCTGACTATAGTCACTCCACGACAGTGTTAAATGATTGTAACCAGGGTATACAGGTGTGTATGTAAGGGTGAAATAGTTCCATCGTTTCTTTCAAGTTGACCTGTGTTGGTCGCGACAGTGGCGTGACGTATCACCCCATGTACCACATCATCTGCACTACAGGCCCTCGTGACTTTGCGAAGATTAACGGGAGAGTTTTTGGGAGATGATCCCCGTCTCGAAATGCTACACGGTACAATACATTATGTCATAATGTATTGTACTGTGAAGCGTTTCGAGTCGGGGGTCATCTCAAATGTTTTATGTGTTTTTAACATCTTTAATCCTCGCAAAGATACGAGTGCCTGTGATCATCTGCGGTCCCGGCACGTGTCTCTCACTGTGACCAGGAAACGAGAAGCGGCTGTAAAATACCCCCAGAAATTACGTCAATTCTATACTACATTCAAGACGTGGCACCATCACGGAGTTGCTTCACCAGAAGATGGTCCCGGGATATTCTTTAGGTCAAAATAAATTGGTTATTTGTATCTCTCTGATTTTCTCTCCCCCAAAGAGAGACTCATTTTTGACTTTTCATTAGTCATAATCCTTATGTGCACAGAAGAATGACGAGATATGGAACACAAGATCATCAGAATGTTGTGTCCTGGTCATGTCACTGACGTCCCGGCAGTTGTCCATGTTGTCGGGTTCACAACTAAATAAATACACAACGCCCCCATGTTTTTAAAGTCTTTATTTGTGTTTTTTAGGATTCATAAAATGTAATAGATATAAATACACCGAGGACGTTTTCAATTGTCATGATAATTACTGAAGCTTAAGACAATATAACGGCATCTGAGAAAACAACTAACAACAACACAACTAAAGTTTGGGACTTTGTTACCGCATTTGACGGCAATGTTACCGCTTTGGACAATACCGTTACCGCACTTTAAAACACTGTTACCGCACTTTACAACATAGTTACCGCGCTTGACAACACTGTTACCGCACTTTACAACACTGTTACCGCGCTTGACAACACCGTCACCGCACTTTACAACAATATAACCGCACTTGACAACATAGTTACAGTGAATGACAAGTATTTTAATGGGGCTAGTATGTCGGACAATAAATAACTTCAAAATGATTTCATGGCATTTGATAGGCTAAGTCAGCAATTATTTATTTACATTTATGCTCGTGCATACCGACATTAACATAGACAAAATTAGGCCTGAAGAAAAAAGTATTAATTTTGCGAAAATTTAAACAACATCTTTGGCACGCAGAAAAAATTCAAGAAGTAGTTAGATTCAAAATCTCACGTTAAATCGTAGGCTGTCAGTATACCATAGGCGGATCCATGTGTGTGCGTGTGTGTGCGTGTGCGTATGCGTGTGTGTGTGTGTGTGTGTGTGTGTGTGTGTGTGTGTGTGTGTGTGTGTGTGTGTGTGTGTGTGTGTGTGTGTGTGTGCAGGGGTGCACACACCCCTTTTGTGCTCAAAGTTTGTTAAATGACCATTGAAACTCGGGTGAAAATGAAGTGTGCACCCTCCTTTTCTCAATAGCGTGCAACACCCACCCACCCACCCTTCTCAAAAGCTGTATCCGCCCCTGGTATACTGTATGCAGCAGGGGATGTCCTACATTTGTGTGATTGGGACACCCTGTTACCGGGAAGCGAGACTGTAATTTACACACAGGAAGAACTAAGTGAAACACCTTCACAAGAGATAACACACGACTCAGTTACCGAAATACCCGAGAGAAGGTTCCTATCGGGATAATGAGCATCATGCCCTGGCAAAGCAAAGTCTTCAAATAACCGCAAAGGTGACATTTCAGTATAGGTGTAGTGACTGCGTGCGAAAAAAACAACAACCCTGGACTTGTTTGTAAAAGACATATTTACTTATTCATTTTGAAGTTCAGGTTTAAAACTAGACGCCGTGTTTAATTCTTTGAATTTTACATAATTTTGCAAAACATCCATTGCAAGTGGACCACACAATCCGGTGACTGACTCCATGTGCATCGGTCTAGTCAATTGGGATACGATACACGCCCTTAACCAAGTGCCGATCACCACCCGATCTACTAAGTCGCTGCAGAAGACAGCACAGGTTGTTGGGGACAAATTCCGAACTGCCCAGGGAATCCCGCCGTTTTGGTATTTAATCATTCCTCTTCGGTACTGGTCAGTGTTTATGCTGTCAGACATCGGGGTTATCTTGGCATCATTCGATTATTTACCCACCGTCGTGATATAGATGTAAGAATACTGGAAACTTGGCGGAAAACAGTTAGTTAGTTCACTCTCAAAAATACTTGAAAAACACGTACACGTCATAATCAAAACACGTTTCATTTTATTGACATCATATGTTTGAAAATACTCCCTCACCCCCACCCCGTCTTATTTACGTCATTTTTTAATTATGTTCAGATGCATACACTCGGATTTTACACTTAGGGGTTGGTGCTACTTGCAAGCCCCAGGATAAACAGAAATATGAGTGTAATGAGTGCAATCACAATAACGTAGAAACGAAAGAACAGAGTATCAAATGCCCGCGCAATATCCTTCCATGTCAAGTCAGCAGTGCTGCTGGCGGCGGATGACGCCCGGTCACTCAAGTTGCTGTGAGACTTCTTCTGGCTCCCCCTTTCCCGGATGCTCTGAACGTCCTTGAACTTGGGCTCTTCCCCTGCGATGTCAGAATTACTGGCAGAGACTGACCTCGACTTCCGGCAGCCACGGGAACAGACCAGAGGCATGATGACCACCTTTGTCGTCTGCTCCAACCAGTACGGTATCTCATCTTCCCGGAAGTGAAAGTCAAGCACAATGACGGTCAGCAAGACGGACAGTCCACTCAGGCATAGAATCACAGCCAGGTAGACAGCTGAAACACAATTATAGAATCACAGCCATGTAGACAGATGAAACACAATTATAGAATCACAGCCAGGCACACAACTGAATCACAAATAAAGAATCACACACTACTACTACTACTACTACTACTACTACTACTACTCCTGCTGCTGCTGCTGCTGCTAGCTAGTAGTAGTAGTAGTCTGTGATTGTAGTAGTTCTTGGTGTAGTAGTAGTAGTAGTAGTAGTAGTAGTAGTAGTAGTAGTAGTAGTAGTAGTAGTAGTAGTAGTAATAATAGTAGTAGTTGTAGTAGCAGTAGTAGTAGTTTAGTCCCACAATAAGTGTGCTGCAACTACATCTACTGCTACTACGCCTTCTTCTACATTCACTACACCAAGCCGTCTCTTACCCATGAAGGATGTGTCACGGGAGGTGGTGGGCATGCGGTCGGCGATGAGGGTCAGGAAGACAGCAAAGGAGAGAAGCACGGTGAGGGAGTAGCCCATCTTCTCCCCGCTGTCCGGGGGCAGGACGAACACCAGGGCCGACAGGATGGACAGAACCACCACGGGCAGGATGATGTTCACACCATAGTAGTCTGGCTTCCGCTGCATCTTGAAGATGAAGGCCACTGTGGCGTACGTTTCCGAGTCAACATCGTGGACCTTCTCTGTTCTCTGGCTGTAAGCTTGATTCAAGTTCCACTCGCCATTCCTCTCAAACTCAGCTGTTTCAACGCCGGAGCCGAACTTGAACAGGTCGAGTTCCCGGAGGTTGTAGCCCCAGCTTTGTACAACTACAGAACATTCCTGGGAGTCGAAGGGGTAGTAAGTGATGTCAATGTTGCAGTGGGTTATATATATTCCGGGAGGGTTCCAGTACACCAAGCCCCCCTGGCCGATCCTCATGGGGATATTGTCGTTGGCGATGACGTCTAAATTGTCCACCCTGTAACCAAACACGTATATGGCGTTCAGATACCGCCGGGTAGATTCCCAATGACGTACTGCCCGTCAGTTGTCTGATGTGAAACCCCGCCTCTGCCACCCTCTACATCAGTTAGATAAACCTTGTCCACCCTCCCCTCGTTTAACAGGTTATTGAGTAGACTGACTGACCACAAACTTACGCGTTCTTCACGACCAGTGAGGGCCGCCATATTTCCGTCTCGTCCGCAAAAAAGAAACCAATGCCGTTGTACGTTGAAGGGTTCCACTTGAGGCGGGTGTCGTTCCATACCTAGGGACATGGAACACAATAAACAATACACCTAACAAGCAATATTTCCCAACCCTCGCTCGCATTTAATTCCTTACAACAATAAATGATGTAGGTCATCACCAGTTGGAAAAAGGCCAGATTATTTATGAGACCAAGCCCCGATTTCTCGAAACAAACTCAAGTCTGAAGTTTGACTTCAGTTGAAGTATTTACTCAAATATGAGAAAACGCAGGAAAATGCATTTCCCAGAATGAACAGAATGAACTGAAATCGATATTAAACTAAAAAATAGTAGACAATTGAGTTTGGTGGATAGATTCCTTAAGTTGCCTGTTTTTTTGTATTTTAAACATGCAGCTGATTTGATATTTCAGCTGTTTCAAATTGTGAAACTCAGTTTGATATTTGAGTAAAAAACTTAAGGTTGGTTTTGTTTAGAAATCGGAGCCAAGGTCATAATAGAGGCTAATCAGTCAGTGGTTGATCTGACAGCTTCACGCTACAAGGGGATCTCTTCAAAGAAACATAATACATCTGTTTTGTCCCTTTCAGAATTAACCGGTCTCAAACTAGTTGCCATGGAGACCAGGAAGGGAGTGACAACAGGTACCGAGACAACTACTAATCCCTAATCCCTTATGATTTCTAAGTTGTTTTTGTTCAGTAAATATCAGCTCTAAGTGAATAAGTATCAAAAGACAACATAAGTAGATGGAATAGCTGAATAGAACATCCCGATTCAATATGAACAAATATGCAGCGGCACTAATGGATGTCAATAAAACCGTAATACGATTATTGGAAAACACGATTCATGGACACAATGCATCAATTCTCTATATAGCTGCCCACAGGGCTTGACGATTTAACAACATAAAGCTTTTATTGTGCCAACTCTGTCAACAATTGGTGTCTATGATATATTGCCTAATGATATGTCCGGAATATCAACCAAAATAAATGTTGAACCGCACTGAGTGTGCAGTAGGTTCCTGTTTCAATACCTGGTCTGAGTGATATCAACACCCACCCTGTATGTGCTTATAGCTCGAAATCAACACCCACCCTATATGTGTGTTTGTAGCTCGTATATCAAAACCCACCCTGTATGTGCTTATAGCTCGTATATCAACACCCACCCTATATGTGTGTTTGCAGCTCGTATATCAACACCCACCCTGTATATGTGCTTGTAGCTCGTATATCAACACCCACCCTATATGTGCTTATAGCTCGTATATCAACACCCACCCTGTATGTGCTGATAGCTCGTATATCAACACCCACCTTATATGTGCTTGTAGCTCGTATATCAAAACCCACCCTGTATGTGCTTGTAGCTCGTATATCAACATCCACCCTGTATATGTGCTTGTAGCTCGTATATCAACACCCACCCTGTATATGTGCTTGTAGCTCGTATATCAATGGATGTCACGAAGGTACTTACCACTGTAAAGTACCCGGACACGGAAAACGTCTGAGTGCGTGTTTCCTGGAACAATAGGTGAACATTACACATAACATCTACACAACTACACAACTCAATATTTCCTACGGGGACTGTATGGTACCTAAAGTAAGATGGGTTGACAAACCAGTCAACAGAATAAATGTCTTAGGAATTCGCTGCGTGAAAGGCCACTGGCCCATACACAACGGGCTGGTCGCTTATAGTGACTGCTGGAGTAGAGCATCCACTCAGCCTTATGGGACGTTTCTGTGCAGTGATAGCAGTCTTGAATAAACACAATTCAACCATTTCCTTAGAACTTTTGAATGATGATATCGGCATGATACTACAGGGAGCCCCTGCAGTCGGCCGAGCCACGTCAGCCTTCGTGAAGGACAAAACGTTCTGTCCCTTGGCAGTACCGCCATGACCTTGACCTACCAGTTGGTTTATGGTGAGGAGGTTGAAGACGAGGCTGACGGAGGTGACAGGCTCCGGGCGACTCTTGAGGGAGTAGTTAGTTAGCAAGTCTGACCGCAGCTGTGTCTCGTTCGCGACATTGAAGCTGGACACTCCTGAAACTATAACAAGGAAGAGGGACTAGCATCATCTTAAGCAGTGAGGGGACTTTCAGGTCATACAGGTCTCAGATGTTTGAAATCCACAAACACGGGTATAGTGGCGACAAATCGGGGCGGGATTCGAACCACCATTGGACCCTCGTTTATACCAGCAATGGGAGTGAAAATGTAATAAAGTGAGTGAGTGAATGGGTGGGTTTGGGTGGATGAATGAGTGCGTAAGACTTATCTTTAGTAACATTGTAAATGTATGGCTCACTCATTCGCTCTCTCATCTCATTGCCGAAGATGATATCATACTTGATTGATTGTTGAACATCCAAACTATCAATATGGTTGTGGGCGAGAAGACACATGTTCTACTGGCCCACCCTTACTCAGCTACTCAGATGTCGACACAGACACCGGCATTATTGGTTCTGTGGCGTCGAACGGTGCATTGTCCACGCTTGTGACACAGTCAGTACTATCAAATAATGACTTTGTGTGACGTACATCCCATGGAAAGTCAGATTATTTAAAGTTGACAATGTTAACTATCACGTAACAATTTTGTTGAGACCCGTGCATGTTGTACAACTAACACAATAACAGGTAATACTTTAAACAATATTGCTTAATGGAGAGCGCAAATATTTCCTAGTTGCTGGGGACATGCCACGTTTTCCCGCCACATTTAGCAAACCTATTACCTCTACCCAGCCGTGTCATATGTCTTCTGTACTTGTCCATTAAGGACATGGATGTGACTGGGGTGTGTTGGAGAGTATGTACGTGTCGGTGGAGTGGCGAGCAGGGTTCGCCTGGACTGGCATCTAGCGCGGTTGGGAGTAATGGCTATCGGCGACAGATTTAGACAAACAAACCAATGTGATTAATCCTGCTTGGGATCAATAATTGGCAATTCCGGTTAATAAATGTACTCACAATAGTATCATCGAGTCGCGGTGGACAGCCGTATGCACACATCTAAACACACATACACAAATCACATACACAAACCTACCAGGCACACATCTAAACACATATACACAAATCACATACACAAACCTCTCAGTCACAGATCTGAACACATATACACAAATCACATACACAAACCTCCCAGTCACACATCTGCACACACATACACAAACCTACCAGGGACACATCTGAACACACATACACAAATCACATACACAAACCTACCAGGCGCACATCTAAACCTCTCAGACGCACATCTAAACCTCTCAGTCGCACATCTAAACCTTCCAGGTGCACATCTAAACCTCTCAGACGCACATCTAAACCTCCCACACGCACATCCAAACTTCCCAGACGCATATCTAAACCTCCCACACGCACATCTAAAGCTCTCAGTCGCACATCTAAACCTCCCAGACGCATATCTAAACCTCCCAGACGCACATCTAAACCTCTCAGTCGCACATCTTAACCTCCCAGACGCACATCTTAACCTCTCAGGCGCACATCTAAACCTCCCAGACGCACATCTAAACCACCCAGACGCACATCTTAACCTCTCAGGCGCACATCTAAACCTCCCAAACGCATATCTAAACCTCCCAGACGCACATCTAAACCTCTCAGTCGCACATCTTAACCTCCAAGACGCACATCTTAACCTCTCAGGCGCACATCTAAACCTCCCAGACGCACATCTAAACCACCCAGACGCACATCTAAACCTCTCAGGCGCACATCTAAACCACCCAGACGCACATCTAAACCTCCCAGACGCACAACTAAACCTCCCAGGCCTTTTGGGTATGTCTGTCTAGGTAGTGAACATTCCCCCATACTTTTGAACAACCTATAGTAGTCAAGGTGACATTTCTGAGAATGTCATAGCATTCATAATGTACTTTAGTCGCAGACCTTTTCAGTGAACACATATAGAAGTAAACACTCAATGCATCATATCATGGCATGCGTCCAATGTGTGAAGGCAATGTAAACAGGTGACTTGAATGAGAACACACAGGAACAGACTTCAAAACCCTTGTTTTGAACATAGAACCGGACTTTCAGGTGGTCACCCCAATAACTAAGTGCTTTCTGTTGTAACCGAATATGGCACTGTATTATATGTAATAAACATGGATGTTTGACTTCTATCTTCAGGATAGTTCGACTAATTCTGTTAATCGTTAACGAAACAAAAAGTGATGTATACATTCTATTGGATATTTGTCCATGATGTAAAGGTGAACCGAAAGCCACACACGCGAGCCAACGTCCATGCCATTATAGAGGACAAACATCACAGCTGGGGACCAGTGTTACAACTTGATCGAAGTATGGTTTAATTTCGTTACCAAACTGCTATTCTGTTATGCGTGTCGCCGCATGCAGTCATCACCACTATTCGCCCCACACCGAGGTTTGGGAATGTAGGGTCGCACATGGGAAGAATAGTAGTCCCTGAACCACCCTTGCCCTCCCTGCAATGCTAAAACCCTAAATGAAGCAAGTCTAGATTTCCCATCTCCCAACTCACTGGGGCTCCTTTTCAATTAAAATGGGTTTATTTGCAATTGTTACTGTCAAAATTATATTATATATTCAAGGACCAAGCTATAGTCAAGAAGAATAGTGAGTGGGTGCCTGGCTGTAGGTACTGAAGCATATCGACCACAGTTAGACTGAGTGGTCCAGACTTAATGTGTTATGTATTGACGCTTTGTGACTCTTGTACTGGTATCTAGCATGTAGAAAGATTTGACCTCATTCACTGGGTGTTTATGTGTGGCTTATTTTTGCTAAGATCTCGGTAAGGTGTCAATCTTGTGATCGTGTCGTCTAGGGTAGTGACAATCCAGACCTACCCCGCCAAACATCTCGCACACTGTCATAATCCAGCCCTAGACCACTACACATCTCGCACACTGTCATAATCCAGCCCTAGACCACCACACATCTCGCACACTGTCATAATCCAGCCCTAGACCACAACACATCTCGCACACTGTCATAATCCAGCCCTAGACCACTACACATCTCGCACACTATCATAATCCAGCCCTAGACCACAACACATCTCGCACACTGTCATAATCCAGCCCTAGACCACTAAACATCTCGCACACTGTCATAATCCAGCCCTAGACCACTAAACATCTCGCACACTGTCATAATCCAGCCCTAGACCACTACACATCTCCCACACTGTCATAATCCAGCCCTAGACCACCACACATCTCCCACACTGTCATAATCCAGCCCTAGACCACTACACATCTCCCACACTGTCATAATCCAGCCCTAGACCACCACACATCTCGCACACTATCATCATAATCCAGCCCTAAACCACTACACATCTCGCACACTGTCACAATCCAGCCCTAGACCACTACACATCTCGCACACTGTCATAATCCAGCCCTAGACCACTACACATCTCGCACACTGTCATAATCCAGCCCTAGACCACTACACATCTCGCACATTGTCATAATCCAGCCCTAGACCACTACACATCTCGCACACTGTCATAATCCAGCCCTAGACCACTACACATCTCGCACACTGTCATAATCCAGCCCTAGACCACTACACATCTCCCACACTGTCATAATCCAGCCCTAGACCACCACACATCTCGCACACTGTCATAATCCAGCCCTAGACCACTACACATCTCGCACACTGTCATAATCCAGCCCTAGACCACTACACATCTCGCACACTGTCATAATCCAGCCCTAGACCACTACACATCTCGCACACTGTCATAATCCAGCCCTAGACCACTACACATCTCGCACACTATCATAATCCAACCCTAGACCACTACACATCTCGCACACTATCATCATAATCCAGCCCTAGACCACCACACATCTCGCACACTATCATCATAATCCAGCCCTAGACCACTACACATCTCGCACACTGTCATAATCCAGCCCTAGACCACTACACATCTCGCACACTGTCATAATCCAGCCCTAGACCACCACACATCTCCCACACTGTCATAATCCAGCCCTAGACCACCACACATCTCCCACACTGTCATAATCCAGCCCTAGACCACTACACATCTCCCACACTGTCATATTCCAGCCCTAGACCACTAAACATCTCGCACACTGTCATCATAATCCAAGATTACACAACTACACATTTCTTACGTGTCACACTAAGATATACATAAAACATTGTATTTTTCATGATGTAATTCCGAAATCATGATTTGTTCGGCCATGGGGAAACAAGTAAAGTAAAGGCCATGTCGCAAGAGGCAAATTCCACCCATTCCAGTAAGACTGCGTGATGCTGGTCCATCCACTATACCAGACAGCTGATTATATCAGTGTTAAACAAAGCAGGACTTTCTGACCAAATCTCGTCCTGTTTGCTAGGAAAGTAGACAACGGTATTATAAAACATGAGCTTGTCCCAGGACTAGATACTCCAGTGATTGAAGCGTATGGTTGCGATAGGTACGATGTCACCAACAAGGTCGCCACTATGATATCCAAGTCCAGTCAATAATATTTCTTGGTGCTCTGAAACCCCGACTGTCAATGGTTCGGCTTCCCACCATGAGGAATGACCAGTATGTTACCCAAGGAGGAAATCTGTCAAAGTCATGCATCACAACTAACCTCTTTTATCTTGACATGTCAATTTAACACCAACACACAACAACACACACCAACACACAACCCCCAACCCCCAACACACAGAAATATAAGACTTTAATTTTTTATATTCACACGCGGTTAATGAGGCAAACGCAATCAATATTAAGTGGATTGTCAAATACTCAAAACATGTGCTTGATTTTTACAAAAATTTCAAAGCATCAGATTGTCAACTTTGTTCACCACTATTCCAGATGACTGAAGTTTAGAAACTTCTTCATTCGTTGATCCACATTTGTTACTAAGCGCGGTTATAGGTACGTCTTCAGTCTTCAGGAGTTCAGGAAAGTTGGTCGAAAGTGAGGGTTAATGTCATGTGATGTTTACCGGGAAAACGATGTGTGAAAT